ATATTTCTAGTTCTGCCTCATTGAGATGCCCTTTGCAGATGCATCTCATCCTAACATCCTAACATGTCCAAAAATTAATTCCTAATCTTCTCCCACATTAGGTTTCTCCACAGTCTCCCTGAATGACATCATAATCTATTCATTTGCTCAGTTAGAAAAATGGGCCTCATCCTTGAAAATACCCCATTTCTAGGTAATCAATAACTGGCATCAATTCTATCTCCAACATACAGCTTTTTTTATACCTTTCTTCTTCAAATAACTTCTAACTGATCTATGCTTCCAGTCTTGTCCCTTGCAATGTATTTTCTTCACAGTGACTAAATGATCATTTAAAAATGACAAAATTGATCATGTCACTCCCATACTGAAAATTTCAAAATAATTTCTCATTGAACTTGAAATAAAAAAAAAACTTTAAATATGGTCAACAAAGCTGTGTATGGTGTGCCCCTGCTTATTTTGGTGACATCATTTCATGTCATTCATTATTTTATCATCAAACCTCCATCATAACTGACATCTTTTATTTCCTAGAAGGTATCACAATTTTTCCTACATTAGAGCCTTCATACACACATGCTTTTAATTCCACTTGGATGTTCTTCTCTTTACTTGGATAACTCCTAGTTTTACTCACATTTCAAGGTTTAGTTTACATGGTACTTCCTCAAAGAAGTCTTATTTTACCCACTATTTAATTGGTACCACTTCAGAATCTCCCCCCATTTATATGTAGAAAACACCTATAAGACTATAATCTTGAATAAAAACTATCTTTTCACTTCTTTGTCAATCTCCATTATCTGGATTTGTGCTAAGTACATAATAAATATTTACTAAATATTTGTGGAATCATTGGAAGACTAAATTGATGAGCGTATCCAGTTAGCTCTGTATTATACACACATACTCAAGGCTTGTTGGCTCAGCTGGCTGGAGTGTTGATGCTCAGTGTCCATGCCCTCAATAAGGGCAGATAAGGACCTGTAGGCATGTAAAGATTTCAGTTCTCTGGAGGATTTTGTCTCCCCTGGTTAAAATGAACCACATGTTTCATTCTGTGTCACTGGAATAATAGCTCAGACTTCATCACACAGCTGATTTCATTCTGCTTTGCTTTAAAGTGAGTGGACTTTATGTCTGCCATTCCCATGATCACGTTCTGATTCCCCCATCAGAATCACCTCCGATACATCTTCCTTCTCCACAGTGCACATGGTATGAGTTAAACATTGGTAAAAATTGCTTTTAAATACATCATCATTCAAAAATAAAGAATTATAGGTGCTAAGTTAAGATTGCAAGTAGCACCGGATTTAGTGTAGAATCCAAATTAATTATTCAGTTTACTCTAATTCAGCACTTCCCTGTTTAAGGCACTGTAAGAAGCATTAGGAATTTAAACAATGATTAAACAGTGCCTTTTCTGAGACATCAATAAGCTTTATATAAGGAAACAAAACCCCATCAGTGATCTTGGTGTGGTGACAGTACCAGAAAGTGTAACTGGCCTGGTATAATGCCAACAGGACCAACAGACCCGCACCCTCCACAGGGATTTGGCAGGAGTCTGTTTCAGGAATATAAATTTAGTTCTAACAGATTTCTTGTTCTCCTAGTCTCACTGAACCAAGTCCAGGTATAACCTCATGGCTCCTACACTGTGCACTGTCAATTGGGTTATTGCCTGGGTATTCCTGGTTGATTAATGTTCACCCGTCCCCACTTCCACGTCCCAGGACAATTTCTGCTCCACTCCAGGATTAAAGGAAAAACACTTCAGATCCATATGAACCAGCCAGAGGGGACCCTGGTATCAAAGATAAAGACCATAAAAAGATTGGGTTCCTGACAAAATCAAAGAGTTCTGGCCATGGATTCTCTAGAGCCCTTAACTGCTCTGCTGAGCAGATGGAGGTCATCAAGTGACTCAGCTAGGAAGAGGCCTGCTAATAAACGGCAATACTTTTCTAGGAGCTTAAAATTAGTATTTGCCTTAGGGCTGTGTTGAATAATTGCTGGTAATTGAACTGTAGAAATACCTACATTATATGTGTGTGTGTGTGTGTGTGTGTGTGTGTGTGTGTCAAAAGAAACAGTGTCATGTTCATTTTGTTTTGCTTTAAAGCACTTTTCAAATATGATTTTAGTAAACAGGTAGGGTAGAAAGTCCTTTCCTTCATTCTGTCAGACACTGTGGTATAAAATGCTTTACTTTTCTTTCTCTTTTTCCCCCTAAATTTAGTTCTGTGATTTTAATGCATTGAATTTAGCCTGTGAGGAATCTTTATTTTCATTACACTGCCAAACAATTGTTATGAAGGCCAAAACCATATGTAGCACAGAATACTATAAATTTCATGTATAGACAAGGCCTGTCCAGAAACTATTCAGCTATGTACTATGAAAAACAGAGATATTTATTGAAGAAGATACAAGATACAAGAAACATTGTAAGTAGAATAATGATATCTCAGTCCCTTTCAAAGTAGTCACCTTGGGACCTCACACAGTTCTCCCAATTGCCACCAGCTGCCCTTTCATATTTTCCTGAATCTCACTGACAGTCTGAACTCTCTCCCCTTTCAAAGGTGATTTTAGTTTTGGGAAAAGTCAGAAGTCACAGCGTGTCAAATCTGGGCTGTAGTGGGGCTGAGTCACCTGGCTTTGATGTTTCGCCAAAAAGCACTGCATGGGATGTGGTGCATGAGCAGGTGCCTTGTTGTGATGGAGCTGCCAATCACTAGTTGCCCATAGCTGATGCCTGCTGAATCATTTGAATAGATTCCACAAAGGAATGTTCAAGCTTAACTCAAAACAATGCAGATACGTTCCTTCACTAAGTCATTCTGAATGCAATAGCCACAGAGTACACATGCTCACTCAATGACATTTACTGTCCCTACTGACTAGCACAGGGAAGTCATCATTGTTCATGCATGCACATTCAGTCCACTCTCTTTGGCTGCCAGGTCATGTCGATGTCACACAAACTGTCCCCGTTATATCAACCATGGCTGGACTTTTTCTGCACAGACCTCATATTGCTAATATTTGTTGGGAAGTGAATTTTTGCCACTTTACATGAATTGATTCATTTAATCCTCATATCTCTAGAGGCAAGCGCTATTACTATTCAACAATTTGTAGGAGAGAAAATTAAGGCTCGGAGATTTTAAGCAATTTGACCAAGGTCAAAGAACTAGTAAGTTGCAGAATGTGAAAAATTATATACATGGAGCCATGTCAAAAACCACCATCTCAGAGGAATTGCCTTGCGTGTCTTTACTCCTCAAACCCTTGGAATGTTTGAACTGGGAGTGATAACCTGTGGATTGGGACAATCCAACATTGGAGTCTAAACAACTGTTTGTAAAACTAATAGAAAATCAGACATTTTGAATATGAAGATTGAAAATTAAGGACATTCTTTAGCATCAGAATCACCATATATAGCTAGAAAATAAATTTTCTTATTTGTACCTGTAGAAAGTCTATCCTTAGCTGATTAGCATCAGTAGAAATTTCTTCCTTCTATTTATGTAAATTATTTTCCTTTCATTTCTCAAAAATACCACTGCTTTCACCTTATAACTGTAACACTATTTGAGTTTCTGTCTGAATCAGTGCTTCTTAGAACCACAGTACTTTTTTATCTAAAATGAACATTTGTTACCTCTCACTTTGGCTTTCTATTTTTAGTTTCAGAATGTCTTGGGTTCAAGCCTAGCATTTTTGGTCTAGAGACTACTCTTTTAACCAGCAAGCTCTACTGCTCATCACATGCTACATATTAGTTGACTGCATAATTCTCATAAACCCCATGAGAGAGATACTATCAATATGACATCCATTTAGTAATGAGATTGGTCCTACCAATGTCAAAGTGACAAAAAGGAGGCTTTCAAACTTAGTTCAGTCTGACTCTTCTATCTGAGATCTTAAACACTACCCACTCCAGCCTCCCAGAGAAGGTGGTATGCTTATTATTTTTAATTGCATACAGCATTAGAGATAAAATAGATTTTAAGATAAAGGGAAGAGGGGAGGGGAGGGGGGTAATGGAGGAAAGAAGGGGAAGGGTCTAGTCAAGGAGCATGTGAAAAGGATCCATGGACAAAGATAATAATAGGGGAGAGTAATGGGGAGAAAATGGGGACAATTGTAACTGAACAACAATAAAGAAAAGATACAGGGAAGAGATTTTACTAAAATATTGCAGTAATTATCAACTCATTATCTTCTAAAATATTTAAAATACTTAAGCCAGTTATTAAATTTTTCTAAAATATGTGAAATACTGTTAAGCTAATATTGAATGTCATCATTCTGAAAAAGCAGAATTCAAATGACTATTCTTAAAAATTAGAATAATTATGCATCTCAATGTTTATGTGATTCCCCAGGATCACTGCAATTACCTCAGGAGAGGTAATTTTTGCGAGCACTTCAAAAAACAAATTTTAACTTATTTTGACTATTGCAAATATAAACTGTGATTTAGTGTTTGTTGGGTAAAATACATCAGAGTATTGCAAAATTAAAAAATCACAACAGTGTTTTAAAATATGGCAGTTGCCATTTCAGGATAGATAATTTTAATTATTATTATTATTATCATTACTATTAATGTTTTTCCAAATGAGAAGGGTAACCATTTATATCTGAAAAATTAGAAGGTATTAATATGCCAGCCAAGCTATTAGGATCTGCTAGGATGTAAAATTTATAGAAAAAATTTAAATGGTTATTGCTAATATTGCTTTTAAGGATATTCCTACATAAATCTATTCTTTTCTTCTCTGACTTCACATTTAGAGTTTTGGCTTCTTCTACCCTCTGCGATAACTACTACTGCAGGGTTTCAGATCTTTAGGATCATGCTGAATACCAGAGCAGAAAAGAAGAGAGCACATTGAAAGTGGGTTATAGCATAAACTTTAAGAAAATGGTTTGTCATCAGCGTCCTACTGTGGAGTCATTTATGGTTTTATTACCTTTAGGTCCTTTGAACAGTTTGATTTCCACGACGGTCTCCAAGATGGGTCTTCGTCTTCTCACGTAGAGCCGAACGATAGACCCCGCCTCTTTGAGGGCTTCCACCGCTTTACTGTGGGAAACCTCCGACACATCCACCTCGTTCACCCGCAGGATACAATCATTGACCCTGAAAGGACAGAAGAATGCAAAGCTCAGAAGTGTTGAGGAGGATTTCCCAAAGAATATTATTATGACCTAACCTTGTAAAGTGGTGAAGCAAAGAAAATAAGCAATTTTAAAACAAGGACATGTAGAAAGAAAATTTCAAATGAAGAAAATTAAAAAGAATAAAACAAACTCCTCAGCTTTCCCAGCCTTTCCTACATTGATTACACTGCTGGTCAAGGCCTATTATGAACTTCGGTCCATGAACTTCTAACCGGGAATGTATCAGGTGTGGTGTAGTCAGAAGGACACATATTTTAAGGTGTCTTCCAGTTACATCATAAGTTTGATTGGTTTTAATTGGTTGCACTGAGGGTTACAGAACTGTACAGTATATCTGCAAAGTACAAGCATGTATCTGAAATCCACCCAGGATTACTCATCTTCACTGCAAGCCCTTTGGTTGAAGTGAACATCCTCTCTTACCTGGGTTACTTCCACAGCCTTGTAACTACTCTCCCTGAATTCTCTGTTGTCACCTTTCAACTCATTCTCCACACAGTGCCCAGGGTGAAGTGAGCATGGTTGCTGGCTTACTCACCTTCCATTCCTTAGTTCCCTGATTTTGTTCAGGACATCCATTCCTTAGAAGATATTTGTTAAATAAGTGAAAGAATAAGTCTAAGTTTAATTATCGAGCCCTTGCTCCATTTCTTAAGTTTATAAATATTGGTAATTTTCTTAATGTCCCTAAGCCTCCATATTCTCATTTGTAAAATAGATATATAAATAATAGCTACTATAAAAACTTTGGGCAAAAAATAAATGAGATAATGCACCTATAAATTCTTAGCACAAACCCTGGTATATAGTAAGCACCTAATAAATGATTGTTATTGGTAGCAGTGCCAATTTGTTGATTTAGAATATTAAGTAGTGGATTCTTTCCATAATCTTAGGGAATAAAATTTATTAAGATATAAATGAGAGTTGTATGAATTGGTTAATATTTTAGTATAAACCTGCCAAGAATTTGGGTAGAGATTTGATATGAGCTCATGTCTTCCTAGTTGAAAATTTGGGCTCTTTCTTTTTAGGATCACCTACAGTAAGTCTTCACAATGCTGTTAACGGTTTCTGCAACTTTAAGCAACACAACACAAAACAAGACCAGTTTTACCGTAGTCTAAATGATATAAATAAAAGTGAAAGTCCCTATTGTGATGAACAGTTGGATCTATATTGTGTACATCAACTCAAAATTATAATATGGTAGTAGAAATATTATAGAAAAAAGTATAGAAAAATTTTCTACCATTTTTCTATAATTTTTTATACCTCTTTGAGGAGCTGAGATATAGGAACTTTTATTTCACTGAGAACTCTAATTAGCCTCAAAATCCTGAAATGGAACATTTCATTTACTAAGATTTAATGATGTTATTTTATGGCTTTAATGGGTTTGCACATACATTTTTTTTCTGACTGACTAAAAACTAATTCATGGAAAACTACCAATTAAAATAGTGTGGAGAACAGAGGCATTATGGGTACTGGTCTCCAGGCAGCAGCTGGTCTTTTGAGAGTGGGTAATTTTTTCATCTCATGATAATGCAAAAACATAATGTTTACCATCACCCTATGCTGAGAATACTAATCATATCTCAAAACACTGCTTGCCATAGAAAGGAGTAGATAATATTTAAAAAATTCTCCAGGCTCTATTATTTCAAACAAATAATTTTTTTCTTTTGTATACAGTGTAAACCGTAATTGTCAATTACTGGGGTAAGGAAATTACAGCCTAAATCAGATGTTTTTTCCTGAACCTGTGGATGAAGTACGCAGCTTTAGTGCACTGAAAAAAGCATTGGACTAGCAGTCAGAAGGCTTAGATATGAGTCCCAGCTGTATATCAGCTATGTGACCGTGGTCAAATTACTTCATCTCTTTGAACTTCTGTTTCCCAGGGAAAGAGTAGGCATGCTTGGAGTTAGTGGGAGGAGTAACCAGACAGATACCAGATATGAATGTATGTGTCAGTTGTAATATAAGACACTTCTGAGAGTCAGAGCTATTGATCAGTGAGTCAAAGATGTGGTCCCGGAGGATTTGTTAAAAGGTAAATAGGATGGAAATTGAGATTTTTAGAGGGTCTGTTATCTGCCAGACCATCACAATCACTTCATTTATTTGTTCACACTTAAATCAGAACAATTATGAATCATTGATTCCCATTTTGTAAGACAAGTAAATTTAATGACGAGGTACAATGTTGGCAAGGGCATAAACGTGATTCCTAACTGGGTTTGTATTTTTTGAAGCCTCTGCTGATATAATGTTATTCAGACTTGATTGTTTTAAATTAAAAATGAAATGGGGAGTATGAAGAGGGAAATTTACATTCAAATTCTTAAAATAGAGAGGAAAGAATACTAAGCCAAACTAGGGCACTCAACTCCCCTTCCACCCAATCACTTCAAATAGCATTTAATTAGAAGGCCATAGCTATTTAAAATTAATTTGCTTTCCCAACCAGTAGATAATCTTTGTGAGTAAAACCACCACTTGTTTCTATTCTGAAATACATAGATGTACTACTAGCTTCAAAAAAATACTTTTTCCTAGTAAAATGTGCAGCCTTTATCATATTTCTGACACACTGTTTGAGAGAGCCATTTGCATATAAATTTTCTCTTTACTCTACACATGTAATTTAGTTGATAGTTCCACTCTTTCAGTGCTTGCTGTTTCAGAAATAAGCCTACAATATTCTTTTTGTGGACCAGAATTATCCATGAGATTAAAAGGTTAATTTTAAGCCTTTCCTAGTCTCATTTCCTTTGGACATTTTGGTATATTTCCTTGCAGTAAATATTTTAGAAACAAACAAACATCATTGACACATCCATGGAATCACATTTAAATTTTGCATTAAACAATTTAGTATTCTGGAACATGATATAGTATTATTGAAAAGTTAAATAACACCTAAGAAATTATTTGTTCCATTTTGAAGATATAATTTTAAACAACATGTATTGTATACTTTCTTTCATAAACATTACAGTGTGTTTTGCTATAAAATGGGACTTTCAATTTTATACATTTTTAAGGACTTTAATTTATTAAAAATAATCAATAGATGCTTATGTTAAAATTTAAAAAATCCTGTTTATTATGCATTAGAAAGTGCTGGAAGGAGGGCATTTCCCAACAAATTAAGAACAGAGCTACTATATGACCCATACACTTTTTTTTTCTGGGTATTCACTCCTAAAATTTGAAAATATTTATTATAAAACTATATACCCCTCTGTTCATTGCAGTATTTATTATTCACAGTAGCTACGGCATGCAAACAATCTGTATCCTTCAATAAGTTGTCTGATAAAGAATACATGGTACACACATACAATGGAAACCTACTCAGCTACAAGAAAAAAAATGAAATATTACCATTTGCAACAACATGAATGAATTTTGAGAGTATTGTGCTGAGTGCAATAAGTCAGACAGAAAAGGATGAGTCATATGATTGCATTCATAGGTTGGATACAAAACAGAAAGAAACAAATAAACAAACACAACAAACAAATGCTAGAACAAAAATACTTATCAATACAATATAGTGGTTACCAGAGGAAAGCAGGCAGGAGGGTAAAGAGGGTGAAGGAGGTCAAATACACAGTGACAGAAGGAGACTAAAGTTTGAGTGATAAGCACACACTGAAATATACAGGTGATTATTATAATATTGCACACTTGAAGTGTATATAATCTTACTAACCAATGTCAACCCAGTAAATTTAACTTAAAAATACTGGAAGAAAAGATAAAATTTCAGCTCTGAAATTTTTTTTTATGAATTTTTGAAAGAAAAGAATTTTTTATGAAAATTTTTTTATGAATATAGAGGTTATGAGTATTTTTAACAGCATATTTTCACTTTTGTGTTTCTTCCAAAATTTTAAATGGGCATATATCACAGCAGAGAACTGAAGAACAAGGGCCTGGAAACCTTGGTTACATCTAAGTACAAATGGGATGTTGTTCCAGCTCTACAGTTTAGGAGCTGCGCGACTTTGGACAAGTCATTTTGACATCTGGGAGCCTCAGTTTCTTCATCTGAAGATAAGAATAATGTAATTGCTGTATGGATTAAATGAGATGATCTTGTGAAATACTTAGTTCACTCGCCAAGAGTATAGTATTATAGTTTTGAAAATGAGAGAAGAACATTTGCATCAGAAGGGATGAGAAGAGACCATAGTAGAGGAAAAATTATGCTAATGGGAGAGAAAGGAAGAGGGAGCTACAGTCAAGATACTGAAAGAACTTTTGAAATTCTGTATGAGAAAGTGAGGAAGAGATATAATGAATGAAAATTAGGGGAAAAATGCAAAAATGAGGCCTTTCGTAAGTCTAAATTTATACAGTGTGACTTAATTCTCCTTTCATCTTACTCCTCCCCTACCACCAAGAAAACAGTCAGTAGTTCTGATAGAAATTACAGCTTTATGGCAGCTTTGGCAAAAGCTTCTAAAAATCAGCATGCTCGGCAGAATTCCCAGCAACTCATGCCTACTCTGCTCTTGCCCCACTCTACATAGTTAACTACACCCAGCTACACCCAGGCCTTCTCAAGCCTCAGTTCAGAAGGAGGTTTTAGGTCACAGGGTCTGAAACTTAACTCTACAGTAGCTAGTGGTTATTACAGAATGTCCCCTAAATGACTTACTCTTTATTGTCTCCATGTAGTATTTACTATCCTCTTGGGCCAAATAGATGAATTAATTGTAGACCAAATGGTTACGTCACAGAGAAACCTGATCAGTGCTTAATGTACTAGACAAAATGCAACAACACATTATCCAACAGAAAACACTAGCTGGGGAATTACACTGCACACACTTAATGAAAACAATCACTCGAAGCTATCAGAATCTATTTAAAATAAATACTTCTATAGATCGTATGTGGATTGTATAGATTGTATAGACTGCAATGAAAGCAGAAAGC